AAACAAAACCAATGACCATATACCAGGGTATTAGTTTGCATATGGTTATCATTATTGCTTTCTAGAGTTACACTTTTAAAGCATAAGCATAAATAAAAGACTTAAAAACATTTATACAGATATGGAATTAGTACTACCTATATATATATATAATATGCATCCTTTTTTCCCCTCAAAAGCATGGGCAAAAAAGTGCACTCTATATACTTTTTTGTATAATCTATGTTTGTACAAACACAAAATGAGGTCTGTACGTTGTGGATGCACTGTTCATTCACAGGAGCCTGAAAAGCACAAAACCTGAAGTATAAAGTTAAAAGTTTCCCAAGTGCTTTGTTATACAATTGGCAACAGAGAGCAGCTACTTCATATGAAGGAAGTTGCATTTGGTTTTTGTTCAAGGATGTATCTCAAGCATCTAGAACAGCACTGATAAAAATAGCCATTCAAAATAAGTATTTGTTGATGCTGAATGCATTGGGGGTGAGCACTCAGAGCAAGTCAAAGCAGACTTTCATCATCGCAAGATAGACGGAGAGCCCACTGAAGACATTTTTAAAATATATCAAGCGGATCTACAACCATAAAATAAACGCAATGTACAAAATAAGAATAGATGGCCACAGGGAAAGGGGACGGGGTTGGGTAGAGAAGAGGGGAGAAATGCAGACATCTGCAATAATGTCAACAATAAAAACAAAGTTAAAAAAAGAAATACATAAAGCCAAATATAATGGAGCAAAGTCTCTAATATCAAGCGGCACACGTTTTAATTTCAACTCCTCTGCTTACTGTCTTGTTTGCTCTGTTTTCTTATTCTATTCACAGTGTGAAGCCAGACCTCAAAGGGCGAGAAAGTTGACATCTGTCTCCCAGGGCATATTAATTTCTTAACTGTAATAGTTTTTCCTTGGGAGGGTTACTCATCACAGAAAGCCTTGGAGGCAGGAGAAGGGCAGGTGATTTAATGATCTCTCATGAGCTTGTAAACACGACTGTGAATTCAGAGAGCGAAATTTGGAGACAGTAGAATCGTTACTTCGGTACCTGCTGTCTATCAGTCAGGTTATGATATTCAAACTCCAAAGGAGGCAGCAGACAGTGAGGAGTAGAATAAGGGTGTAGAATAAGGTGACTGAGCAGCTTTCCAGTCCCATTCCAAGTACAATATAGAGTCCAAGTTTACCTTTTATTTGCACACACATACACACAATCACATGGAATGATGTTTACTATGAACTTCGCAGAGGAACTTGCAGAGAAAATACTAAGGATGCTTTTTACCACCTAACAGTCTAAATTTAAATGAAAATATGACTTTTTGATCCTTAAACTTGAATTGTAAATAATTCATATAAAATTTACACATTCAAATATAGTTTGGATTTTTAATTTTATATTCATTGCCAATCTTTACAACTTTTGTACATTAGTTATAGTTAAATCTAGCAGCTTTGACACTAACATATTCTGCTGATTCCAATTTAAATATTTATTCATCTATTTACCTCTCCTATAGGCAGGCAGAGTCCTCTACTCACTTCTTTTAACATATGCATCTATGTGATTTATCCTGCAAAATCTTTATTTATCTCCATGCAAAATTTTATTTTTCTTACAACCTGTATCAAACATTATTTTATTTTGTATGACTTGTCCTACAGTTACATATAAAGTTAGATCTCTCTGGAATATCAATTCTGCCCTATTCCTTCCTCTGTTTTTAATTATTGTGTTATTTTTCCCTTAAAGATTTTTCTCTGTAGTAAATCTTGTGCTCTGAAAATCATGTAACCTTATTTTTCAAGTCATCTTGAAAAAAAATTTGTTACTATTTTCAGCCAATCAAATTTTTTGTCTTTGATTCAATAATTTGCAAATTTTGAAACAGGTATCTGAGAACTTCCATCTAAGTCTAAATTTTGGGCCTTCTTGTTGTGCACATTCAATGCTGTTTTTTTTCAACTCATGGCGTTTCCAAATGGTTTTACTAAGGTGAAGTTAACATAATGCACAACTCACCATTATGTTATAAAGTGTGCAGTTCAGTGGCATTTAGGCCTTCACAATGTTCAGCAATCTCCACCTCTTTCTAGTTTCAAAACTTTTTCAGCAGCTTGGAACATCCTATTCCTTACTAAGTAACCACTTCCTGTTTCTCTCTGCCTCCATTTACTAAACTACTTTCTATATCTATAGATTTGCCTATTCTGGATAATTTATATGAAAGGAATCATGCAATATATAACCTTTTGAGTCTGGTTTCTTTTATTCAGCATGTTTTTGAGGTTCATTATGTTATAGTATGCATAAGTATTAATCTTTTTATGGACGAATAGTATTTCATTGTGAGTATATAATACATTTTGGTTATCCATTCATCTGCTGATGAAAACATGGTTTCCTTTCACCTTTTGGCTATTAGAAATGATGCTACTATAAACATCAGTGTACAAGTTTTCATGTGAACATATGTTTTCATTAATTTTGCGTACGTACTGAGAAGTTGAATGGACGGGTGTGATAACTCTATGTGACCTTGTTTTGGGCACTGCTGAACTACTGTCCAGAGATGCTGCATCATTTTGCATTTCCACTAGCAATATATGAGAGTTTTTATTTCCCCTTATCCTTGCCAACACTTATTTCGTATTTTTTTATTATTATGGTAGACATCTTAGTGTGAGGAAAATGCATTTTATTATGATTTTGATTTGCATTTCCTGAAAGTCCAGTGATGTTGAACACTGTGTCGTGTGCTAGTTTGCCATCTGTATCCTTTCTGTAGTTAACAGTCTGCTTCAGTTCTCTGTCCATATTTTACATCTAATTTGCAGTCTTTGTTTTTATTTTTTAGTTACAAGAGCTCTTTATTCAGGAGTTTACATCCTTATCAGATACATACTTTTCAAAATACTTTCAATATTTCTCTCCTATGTAAGTTGTCTGTCACATTCTTGACAACATTCTTTGAGGTGAAAAAATTTTAATTTTAATAAAATTCAATGTACCTATTTTTTTCTTTATTATTCATGCTGTTGGTGTCAAACTAAGAAACCATGATTAGATCCAAGGTCATGAAGATTTATACTATATTTTCTTCTAATAGTTTTATAAGTTTAGATTTTATATTAAAGTTTTGTATCCATTTGAGTTCATTGGATGATGCATCTGGAAGGATGCCAGGTTGCATCTTCATTGTTCTGCACATGGTGGCCATCCAGCTGCCCTGGCAATATTTTATGAAGAAACCTCTCCTTTCCCACAGAATGGTGTGGGAACCCTTGTTGGAAACCAGTTTGCCGGGGATGTATGGTTTTGTCACTGGACTCTCAGTTTTATTCCCTCGGTCTACGTGTCCATGTGTATGCCACTACCACGCTGATAAGGTAGCTTTGTACTGAGTTTGGAAACTGAAAGGTCAGTGAATTTTGTTTTCTTTTTCAAGATTGTTTTGTTTGTTTGGAATCCCCTTGGAATTTGATGTAAATTTGAGGGTCAATTTTGCCTTTTCTTTAAAAGAAAGGTCATTTTTGACTTTTGATATTGAATTGAATCTATAGATCACTTTGAAGACTATTCTCTTCTTAACAGTATTGTCTGCAAATCCGTGACCACAGCAGCCTTTCTTTTAATTAGGTCTTCCGTAAGAACAATTATACTTTTATACTTTTTGAGTGAACAATTTATCTTTTTTATATTTTTTAGTGAACAATTTATTCAGCTACTCAGTTAAATTTATTCCTAGATATTTTATCCTTTGGGATGTTATTGTAAATAAAATTATTTCCTTAATTTCCTTTATAATTTTTCATTGCTGATGTTGAAACTCGAACTGCTTTTTATTTTTTGCATTGATAATAAGAATAGTCAACAAGTAGATAACACATATTAAATACCAGGGTTGTTCTGAGAGCTTTACATATGTTCATGGCCTCAAAACATAGTGGCTTGCAGTATTATAGGCCACAGGAAGAAGGTCAATTTTATCGACATGGCTTTCAAGGTCTTTCTCATCTAGGCTTTAAACTATGCTTTTATCTGTATGTGCCTCTGCTGACACCAAAATAACTCACTGTCACCAAACACACTATGTTCTTCCATCTCTTGATGTCATTTCATTACACAATCTGTCATTTTTGGCTAGGATTTTTGCCCTAGCTCATCTGTCTGAGAGTCTCCTACTCATCCTTCAAGATTTAGCTCAAATGTTAGCTCAGCTACTTAATCGGTTCTCCTAGAGACGATCTTGGTGCTGCACCCTGTAACAATTTGATTATGCCTCTTTTGTGATATCTTCACCTTGGGTTGCCATTATCTTTTCTGCTTATTTTGTTGTCCTCCATTCTAGGGTTTGGTGCATTACCTGGCATAGTAGATGCTCAATAAAACTTTCCTAAATGACTGAGGGGTCCAAATACACAAAAGTAATCTATCTTGTCACAAAATGTGCTCAGCCTAGTTCGTACATACGAAAAACAGTAACCAACTTTCCACGCCTGGTATAAATCAGGAAATTTAAATTTGTAAATAAACACAGTAATGGTAGTACACAAGGGGGTCTCTTTGTCTCTCTTAAACTTCCCTCCCTTTCACTCCCTAATCTTAAGATCATCTCTGTGTATCTGAAAACAAAAGAAAACATGATAAATATAGAAAGCCTAGCAATGTAGTAGTTTTACTTTAATTTAAAATTTATAACAATATTCTCCTTACACTAGCATGGAGACAAATGTTGAGAAGGAAAATGATTCCACAGGAAGTAGGCTGAGTATATTTCCAGATGATCTGAGTACTGTTTATATTCCTTATTAAAAGTGTGGCACTGACTCTACAATAGGCCTCTCTGAGCCCCAGTCTCTTCACCTATAAGATGAAGCCAATACTTCCTGCCGGACACACCACAAATTATTGTGTGAGCATCAGGAAAGAGAATGCTTTTGAAAGTGTGCTGTGAAACGTGATGCGCTTTACAACGAAGTGTGTAGTTGTGCACTCACCAAACACGGTTCTTGCAGGCACGGATTCTCTGTTAAGCCAGAATGACACTTGGGAGAGAATGACAGTCATGATGCAAGGCAGGTATGTCTGAATCACAAAATACCCGATTTTTCTTTTCAAGTGGAAATGAGCTGTCATTACAGTATATTCACCTAGAAGAAAAATTTAAGAAGCTTAAGAAACTGTAACAGTCAATAGTTTGCACATTTTGGAAATGGAAGGGATTAGAGGGAGAGAGCAGTGTCTGGTTTGAAAAAAGAATTTATCACATATATGACATGAAAAATATATATCTTCTAACTCCTCCTTAACATAGCAAGAATATTTAAAAGAGGATTTAATATTACCATGAAACTCGCATTGCATGACTATTGACGGAATTTGTTTTCTCTCTAGGTCATACTTATTGACCAAGGAGCACAGGAATAATGAACACTCTCCGGCCATAGACTCTTTTACCTACTGAGGGCCCTCGTCCACATTGGTACCAACCTCAAGTTCAGTTCTCTCTGGCCCTTTAAGGTTTTGATCTCTAGTCACATCTCCAAGACTGGTCCAGATTTCCCACTGTTGACCCTGTCACCAATTCTGAATTTCTCAGTTTGTGTGTAAGCTTTTATTCACTACAGTCAGTTCTATCCCATCCCCAGAGCCACCTTCCCTCCTGCTCTCTGGCTTTACATCGGCAGGATGTAAACATATTAGCTCACACAGCTGCTCCTTCTTAGGTGAGGGGGGCCCTTAGAATGGACAGCAGCTTCCCCACACAGGCCAGTAATAATTATCTATAAACCAAGAGTTGAATCATGATAAGCTATCTAGAATAAAGGTAAAGGAATCAGAACACTAGGGAAGCTGTAATACTATTTGAAGGTAAAATTGACTTGCCTGAGAAGACACATACTTTAATATGAAGTATACTTTAGACTATTTTTTCTCAAACTTTAATGCACACCTAAGGAATCTCCTTCGAATCTCGTTAAAATACAGATCCTAAGTGAGCAAGGGGTCAGGCCTGAGATTCTGAATTTCTAAAAAGCCCCCAAGATTTTAAGCGAACTGATACATTTCCAATGACTTTAACCCATTAACTTTTCTTAGGAACTAACTTTTCTTCAGACTCATTTTACTAACCTGTACTGGATTTAATTGTCTCCTTCCCAATTGACTGGCCCAACAGATCATACTGATTTAACCTGGAGCCATCGGGAGCAACTTGTACTGAATCAGATGCATTGTAAGTCCAAATATATGTGACCTCTGAGGTTGTATATGCATCTGTAGGATAGTGGAAAAAATATTTTTATCACTTTAGTAAGAACCATCAATAAAATGTAACACCAAAACTTGAATGTTTCATAGAATAATTGTTGACTAAAAAATCATTGTTGATATGTACAGAGCATATTTTTAGGATAAAAAGTGTGTGAAGCAGGTAAAGAGAGACAATCAAGATCATGAGATTATTTTCTTTGCAACCACTTGGGAGGTGAAGAACAAATGTCCCGCTAGAGCCTGCAAAATTCAGTGGGCACTGAGGTGATGAAAACATCTCCCATAGCCCAAGGCGGTAGACAAAGACATTGTGGTAAAGAGGTTATGAATGCCCATACCTCAGTTAATAAGAAATAATAATTACTTGTGAAATAATCACAGTTGAAAATAATATTGCTTTCTGGGCATAAATCAATTTAGTTAAGATCTAAATTATAGCTATCATACATAATACAATATATTTCATTAGAAAAACAGGGACTGATCATTGCGGAACAAGTAAAATAAATGAGAATGTTATACTTTCCTCAAGTTGTAAATATTTATTAAAACATTTTCATTTTAAAATCAATCAATGCACCTAGATCTCACTGGACTCTACCATCATTGCATCTCAGGTAAGTTACAGATTCATAGGAAAAGATGGAAGACGTACAGACCAGGCATAATTTCCTGTTTTATTTGACCAAAGAAGCAGAACTTAGTGGGAGCGAGGTGATTTGAGGACTGGTGGGCTGGCAGCACGTCTCGTCTTAGCCATCCCCTGGCCCTGGCATTTCCTTTGTACCCTCAGGTCCTGGTGGGGGAGCAGCTGACCTTTTCATGCAGGCAGTCACCCCACAGCTGAATAAACAGACACCTCTTGCTACTCTACTGACCTTGTGAAGAAACTGTATGCACTTTTGCTCATGGGAATGTTTTGAAATATTAGTTACTCCTGGTCCATGAGCCAAACTCAGCACCGTGGCCACATTCTCAATAAAGGGAGAGAATGGGCCAGCTGTCTCTGGCAGTATCTCTGTCCAGTTATCCAGGACCCTGGGAAGCTTGTTTTGCTAACATGTATAAGTTTTCTAGTTCCAACTATTGTGATGCAATAGCCCTGGTACTTACCTTGATTTAAAGTTTATGATCATAATTCAGTTCCCACTTAAACTTCAGTAACAATAAAATGAATATGTAAATTTGTGTCTTTCTGTGTGGTCTTTTAATGGTCTCTACTAAATGTTAATATCCACAAAATGCTGGTTTTGTTGTGCATGTATTTATCTACATTCACAAGTAAAATATATTACATAAAGCAATTTTTGAAATAGGATTCTAAAAATGCATGTATATATTTGTATATGTATATTTAATAGTAGAGGTATATTGATATAGTTTCCAGATGAATAAATTCTAGTTACTCTGTTTAAATTTTATGTTAACTTTAACTAGTCAGTCACTGATGAGGGCTAAAATTACAGTAACATCAGTAATGTGGATAACTATAAATTCACTGGCAAATTTTCAAGTGGCTTGTTTTGTTCTCCTGTGGATACAAATCATGGCCCTGTTTTCAATAAAATTCAAATGGCACAGAATTTAATAATTCAAAGACACATCACATGTACTACTTTATATTAGAAGGCCTCACAGTACTCAAATAGTTGTGGATACTAATAAACTACATAGTTCTTTAAAGGAATGGCAAACATCATTTTTGAGTCTGACAATACTTTTGAATGGAAATAAGGGAAAACAAAACCCTGCACACACGAGCCCATGTTAAGAAACCAGTGAGACACGGATGGCTGGGAACTCTGATTCATGTCTGTGGCTCCAGCTCTCCGTACCATGCCTGACATGCACAACACATTTCCAATTCCTTCTTGCTAGGTTAACAAATATACTCATAGTATTTTATTATCTTAATTTCCGTCATAGAAGATAAAACTCTGGATGAGAGCAAAATAATACGTTAAGGACAATTGACTGATCGCTCCCATGTCTTTTATAAAAAAGCAATTACGTCATTTCATTGGTTGTATAGGAATATGTTTTTTATTTTTATTTTTAAAAAGTAAGTGTTATTTATTTATTTTTAGGCAGAGGGGAAGGGAGGGAGAAGAGAGGAAGAGAAACATCAATGTGTGCTTGCCTCTCACCCACCCCCAGCTGGGGACCTGGCCCACAACCCAGGCATGTGCCTTAACTAGGAATTGAAGCAGAGACCCTTTGGTTCTCAGACTGACACTCAATCCACTAAGCCACACCAGCTAGGGTGGAATATGTACTTTAGATTTGGGGCCTGGAGAGAGAAGATGTAGCAGAAAGTTATGCACTGAGGATGAGAGGCACTCCCTGGTACACTAACACATGTAAAGGAGGCCAGGGCAATGTTTCTCAGTAATCTATAAAAAAGAGGTAAAGACCATCTGTATTGCCAATTTCATCTCAAATTCCATCTCTACATTAGTTTTTTATTAAATAATTTTCTTTAATTACATTAAACAACCCATTTTTAGTACTATTGCATGTTAAACACCAAATGCATACTGACTGATTCTTAATAGTTGGTAACCAAAAAAAAATTCCAAGATATTCTTTAATTATTCATTTTTATCCCAAATCACAACTTTTTATTTATTCTGGGCTAATGCACAGAATACATCTGGAGGCCCATTCAGCAAGTTTTCAATCAAGTTAAACAGCAAGGAAATGTATAAAAATGTGAGGCAATAAAATTAAAACAAAAAAATGAATTCAAAATCATAAACCTATAGAAAAGATGCATCTTTCATTCAGGGCAATGATAACGTTCCAGAAATCCTATCATTTAGGGGGAAATAAAAGAGCTTTTAAGCAAGACAGGAAAAGATGGACAGAAAAAGGCATGACTGCTTCTGCCAACATTTGTTGCACCAGTATCTCAAGGTTTGGGTGGCCTTGTGAGTCTGTTACTGCATTCCAGTGTTTATGCTTTTAACACTTAAGCATCCAGCATCTATTGTTGGCAAAGATTACACAAGTGTCAGAAAATAAACATAAAGAAAAATATATAAAGCCAATCAAACAGAGAATGTCTAATAACAGATTTTATGTTTTACCCATATCATTTCTAGGTACAGAAAACCATATTCTCAAGCAAGTAATACTCCACTACTCTGTAGACACGCTATAAAGATTTTTTATTTTCATTTAAAATAACTTCAGATGTATTTATTTCATATCTAGAATAGTAACACAACCTCATTTATATCTGGTGTTTTAATAGCTCTAACTTGTCCACTGAAAAATATGTTTCCTTCTTACACCATTACTGCATCATGAATATGTCCTTTCTTTGGTATCAAGTTTTTTTTTTTCAATTTCCTCTTTAATGCCACTTATGCAATGCAAATGTGTTTTTCCCTGCGACATCTGCTGAGTTTTTTCAACATCATATTTACGTTGTGTAACATGATTGACTATCTTAAATAATTTTGGGAGAAATGCCAGTATTGAAGTGGTGGTTTCCATGACAATAAAGGAAGGCTTTGTAGTTAAACAAAGAAGAGATTCTCAAAGAAAATTGAGAGCTGACACCTTTTGTAAGAAAGAACAGAAAAAAACAAGTCTGAACTTCTCATTCTACAAAACTATGGTCATCAAAATAATTAGAGGCTTTTGCATTCATATTAACCATCATTCTTTCCTTTCACTTGCTACAGTCTGTGGGGAGAAGGCACATTACTCAGTCAGAAATATTTTTAATCAGGTTTGAGAACTGCATCTCTATTCAAGAAAAAAGAAATGTCAAGAGCTGCCCCAAATGGACAAAGATGGAGGCGCTGGAAAGAGCAATGTTTCTTAAAAGGTCAGGCAATGGGATGTGTTCACACAAGAGAGAAGCTGTCTAGTATCGTCTATGAATTTATCCTGAACCTGCCCTGCATGCCTTGTGGGCCTAGGGAGATGGCTTGACCTTCCCTCTTTCCAATTATCCCGGGAGAATAAATGCTTCTGCTTGACACACAAGATATAACCTCAGTGACCTAAATATGGCCAAATGCATAGAGCCATTGCTGCAATAGTGTATGTACACAGAAGATGTCCGCATGAAGCAATCTAGCTACCTACCTCTTTCAAATTTATTTTAGGAAATTAAAAAAAAACACCTTCTATTAGTTAGAAAGCAGAAAGATAATTGCACAGATCCAGCATCTGTGCCTGTCATTTGCAACAGGCTGTTGGCTACTTTAATAAACAATGGAATCTATCCTTTACAATTCATACTTAGTTGACAAAAATAAAACATTTATTTTGTATGTTTTAATGTACTAGCACTTGGCAAACAGGAGAAATGGCACAGTCCTGATTACCAAAGACCTCCTGGTCTAATTTACATATTTACAAAAACACACGATGTTTTTTATTAGCAGTCATGTAAGTGATAATATAAATACCAGGATTAAAATATAATGATATTTGAGAGTACAGGAGGGTTAGCCAACTTTTTTGTGATGGAAATTTACTTTTGTATCTTAATGTGCAAGAATTGAGCATTCAATAATATGATAAGAAATATAAAATTAAGCAGTGCTGATGACTATCCTTGATATTGTTGACCCAAAACATGTAACTTCATCCCCATACTTACAGCTGCCAAATTTCAGAGGACACGAGTGAGCATCCATTGGAAAATCCTCCAAATGCATTGGACATTCAGCTTGAACTGTAAGCCTAAAAGTCAAAATTCCACTCTTTGTTTAAGTAAATTGGCAAGTGAAGATAAATCACTCCTTACTGTTGTCAACAGAATTAATGATGATGGAGAGCTTTATAGCATCTTATTAGGTTAATTAACATTTAAGCATGTTTTTTTTCTCTCACATTTAGATCATACTTTAGAAGACATTAACATATGTAAAATCTGAGTGTAAGTAACAATAATATTTATTTACCAAGATGGTATATTTAACCATACTTTACTCTGTGGCTTGTTAAAAAGTTAAGTTTTATACTCATTTTTGAATAACTACTTTCCCATTACCTTTACTACTCATATTTGAAATGTTAGAGAAAAATTTTTAAAAATCTCTATAATGAAAAAATGTATTTTTTCTACCATCTCATCAACAACCATATAACAAAATTGATATAAGAATTCAATTTTAATTCAGAGGAGCTTCCTTCAAAAATGTGTAAGCTTTGAGCCAGTATCATATATAGATACATGAATATAAGTATGGAAATAGATAGTCCGTATTTTCCCATGTATAATGCATCCTTTTTTCATAAATTTTTGAGGAAAAATAAGCACACACATTTTACATGTGTGTAAATGTAAATTCTATATCTATATAAATGTTTGTAATTCTCTTACTTATGCTTATGCATTAAAAGTGTAGTTCTACAAAGCAATAAAGATATTTGTATGCAAAATAATACCCTGGAATATGATCATTGGTTTTGTTTCTAAATATAAATAAATAAATAATTGAGTGAAAAAACTGAAATGAAAATTTTTTCCTGAAAGCTTGGGGCAAAACTGTGGGTGTGCATTGTATGTGGATACACATTTAGATGTATCTCACAAAAATATCTTGTTGCCACTAGGTTACATTATGTGTGTTATATACCAAGTATTTTTCTGTGCCCTCATGAGCACAGTACAAAGTAATCAGCAAATTTATAACAGAGTTATTAGTCATTCCACTTCACACAAAGGTAAAGTATATAAGACATGTGTTAAATGGAACAAATGAAAATATTTCTTAGGACCAAAACAAATGGGGGCAAATTTAACTATAGATTATATACTTCTAATAGAACTCCACGAAATATTTCCAAAACTATGTGTGCTCTCTGTCTGTATTTTGTTTAAACTCCAAATTTCCAATTATTGTCTTAATCCATAGGAATTATCAAAATGTGCAAAATCACAGAGGTACAGCCTCTGTTTTGCAAAATTCCAAGAAAGAGACAGAAGAAAGAGCTAACACTTCCATTTTAGGTCATGGTCATTAGTAATGAGTCCACAGGAGTTTTTTCTTTCAAGATCAGGACTTTGTGAAAGACCTTTCTTAAAGAATTTTCACAACTGAAATCTACCATTTAACATTGCATATGAAATAAAAATGCATCAAATGCCTGCAATGCACATCTGTCTAAATATGATGTTGATGAAAGTCATCTATGCTTTAAGGTACTTTCAACACTTTAATTTTACATTATACATTACTTTATTAGATTTCTGATTATTTCTTTTTTACGTAATAGAAGCAACCTATTTTAATAGATGAATTCATGGGAATACTTAAAATGGGGCAGTGGTGTTAACAACAATACATTCAGTCCATTCAGCACCACAACAGTACCTTCCTTTAGCTGGTTTTTTAAGGTTGAATCAATGAAGTTGATGTTACATGACATTTTTTGATTTACAAAATGGCAATTTTACATGGTTCAGTCTGAGACATATGCTTACAATATCCAATTTACTTGCAAGTTTTATTAAAAAAAAACTAACTCTGAGTTTTAAAAAATAATGTTTTTTCTTTCAAGTAGCTTCATAAAAAGAAACAAAACATTAAATGAAGTATAAGTTTGTTTAAAAATCCCTTAAATTTTTGATGGGCTATCTAATGAAATCTTAAAAAATAAAATTACATGCTAGTACAAAAAAAATTGTTATGCTATGAAGCTGTATTTAATTAAAATATAGTATGAAAAATAAATAGTTAAAAAATCAATTCTTAATAGTAAAGGCACTTCTTAAATTTTAACACCCTAAGATGAGAATCAAAGTCATAAATATTATTTGATATTTAAAATTTTATTATGTATACAATTACAAAGAATATTATAGGTACCTCAATAATCTGCTATGAAAATATTCAACTTGTGTTAACATTTGACAATGAGGTTGACTGGTTTTTTGATACTTGGATTTCTCAGCATCTAAATGCAACATACCAAACCTACAAACATACCTCATGGTGTACAGCAGCGTCCCGTCATCCTGGATTCGAAGAAGCTTATTTGGCATCGTCATGTTATGAGCTACTGATTTTTTCCCATTGTGAAAGAAAGTGTCTGGAGTCCAGATTTTGCTAGCCATTAAATTGTTAAGTCGAAGGATGTTCATAGGACCTTTAAATTTTAATCTCTCATCTTTCCATTTTTGCCGAAAGAAAACATCTATTGTATATTCCTGAAATATAAAATAACATTCTTTTGAAAATAATAAATATTTTAAAGACAAGGAATACAAAACTCCAGTAACATTGTTTCAAAAGAGAGAAATGTATTGAGAGAAGTAAATTTTGAATCAGACATATCATTCCTTTCCCTTACAATGGGATAAAACATATGTATTTACACAGGTACCTACATATTATTATGAAAATAAAAATACATTTACTTTATCTAGTCTTATTTACTTGAACAAATTCTCCATGCAAACTGCATTATTTTGTTCTATAGTTCAAAACTTGGAGAAGGGGGCATGCTTGGGGCAAGATTGGGTGGATTGTTTTATCATTTAACGTAAGAAAGAAATATCAGGAAGTCTTCTCAGTAGGAAAAAAATAAAAGAAAAGAAAAAATAGAAACAAGTATTAAACACACTGTCAGATCTGTATGAGTCATCATCTCCTGTTGCCAAAGAAACTAGAATATCTTGTTTTTTAAAATACGAAAAAAATGGCAAAATATCATATCATTAGCAAGAATGTATTAGAAGATAACAATGATTTTCATAATTTTTTAAATAAAAAGACTAAGTTACCCGTTACTATATTTGACAAGTTATTGTATTTGTATTCAAAGACAAATACTTTGCAAATAAATTCCTTCAGGTTAAAATGTACTATTAAATATTCATACAGACTAGCTAGCAATTAATTCTTTTATTATCATTCCCCAACACTGTCTTAGCTGAATCTCTCTCTTTCTGTCCTGTCCTCCCTCACCCCATCTTTCTCCCTCCTTTCCTTCTCCCTCTCTTTTTCATTGACCCCTCTCCTGCTTCCTCCCTCCGTTCCCTCCATTCACTTCCTATCTCCATCTCTCTTAACAGAAGAGAATGAATACATTTTAGATGAGATACACAATTCACAATTGTGATTAATGCTGACAATGTATTAGATGTTCAAATTTTTGCCCATTCACATTTGTGCAAACATTTACATGATAAATAATTATGATTTTCAGTTACACACTTGAGACTGGAAATTCAGAAACTGCCCCTGGAGCACAATGTCACAGTTATCATGTGAGCAAATAAATGCTTCAGCAGTTAGCAATTTCACTTAAAATTGTGTGTGTAGAAAGGGGCAGATTAGAAAGGCCATATGCTTATGAAAATATCAAGCATTTGTACAAATCTTAGTCAAGCAAATGAAAGTAGATGATTCTCAGTGATCCCTCAGAAATGGAATGGCTGGAGATGAAAAGCATCAGCCAGGGGCACTGGCCAATGAATAGGACATGTAAGTAGCTTTGGGCTCCTGAAGCTTAGGAGAAAATTTCACAATCGAACACACCCTCAGTCTCCACGGGTCAGTCATTGCTTAAATATTTAATTACATATAGTTGAAATTCAAGTAGCCACAACAAAAAGCTGGGTTAATAAATGAGTGTATATGAGAAGCTTTTATGCAAGGATTTCTTTCCAACTATGTTTCCCTTCAATTCAAACTGAATGTGAATCCCAATGACATGTACTTTTCCAGGCCAACTCAAGGTATTTTACAACTTTTTATCAAATTTCAAATTCCATGTTTCTATTTCTATGACATTATGGTATTTTTATTGTTTTTAGAAGCTATTGCTATGGCAATCATTTCCTACAGACATCCCACACAGGAGACACAGAAGGTTCCCAAACAGTAAGTGAATGACAAGTGGGATAACTGAACCATGTTGTACGTGCATCTTCAACCTAACAAAACATTGTCAAATGGAAACCCTAGGGCCACCGGCAATGTATACAATTCCTTGTTTCTTTACAACTTGGGATAGGTGGAATACTTCATTTTAGCCATTGTGGTTGGTGTAAAATGTTTCATAGTGCAACTATTTGGATTTCCCTGTTAAACTAGTGACATTTAATGCATATTCATATGTTTATTAAATACTCTAGTTTTTTCTTATGGAATTTCTGTTCATTTCATTTACTCAGTCTCCTTTAGGTTGCCTTTTTATTGTTGAGTTATAGAAATTCTTTATATTTTCTACATATGAATTTTTTAAACACAAACTTTATAAGAATTCTAATATTGTAAACCATACAATATATAATAGATATATCCCAGAATGCTTCCTATAAAGATATAAAAGTTCTGCTTTTAACCTTTAGGTCCTGGAATTATTTTGTATCATATAAAGTAAAGATCCAACCTTTTTTTTTTCTAATGGGAAAAACAATTTTCTATTAAGTGGTCCATTTTTCCCCACAGATCTAAATGGCCCCTCTCTCATGTATTTAAAGTCAGAATAGGTTTGGCTCTGTTTCTGAAATTTCTGTCCCATTGTTTATTCTACATTGTTTCTAAACTCATGGTTACTATTGCTATATAAAAAGTAAAACTAATAGAGTTTTTATTGTTGTTCAGTCAAAGACATAACTTCCATTACGGCTCTTCCTTTTTTTATGTAGGAGATATTGTGACAGGTCTTTATATTTCCAAATGTATTGCTTTATTTACTTATATCTTGTCAATGATGTTTAATTTTACTGTATAAGTAATAAGAGACTATGCTCTGTGTTGGGAACTGCCCCGCCTGGTATCAGAAGCTGTAACCCCCGCCTAGGCTAAGGCTAAGGGAACGCCCTTGAACCGTAAGCCAGCCAGGAGACAAGCTTATCTCCCTGACAGGATTGCCGCTTCTGCCCCTTCAAACCTCACCTTGCCTGGACCTCAATGCTTGGTCCGTTAGCCAATGACGGGTAAGATTCCCCAAGGGGGGAATGATCTAAGACAGGCACGATCATGTAGGAGGCCCCCAAAAGAAGGACTTTGGGGGCTACAGCAAAAGGGGGTGATGGACTCTCGCCCTTTGGCTTTGACAAAGCTCGAGTCCTCCTGCTGTGCAAGAAAATCTCTTAATCCCTTGGCTGCCTTTCTTCCCTTGCTCCACCTAAGCCTGAAACAATGACAGGGTGGTGCCGCCCTGTGCTGGAAAGGGCGGATTCCCCAGGTGATCAGGCCTAAGAAAGAACATGTAAATTCCTGCGAAACCTTCTTTGTTTAGAATGCTCTCAGTTCAATGAGAAGGGTCCAAGGAGGAAGTTAGTTTGTTCCTTAAAGTCTTACAGCTCTTTGACCCTGACTCAAAATAGGCCCTCAGACTTCCTTGTTATCTATCGTTTGATCCTTACTTCCTCGAAATGAGTAATGTGCTTTACCTGAATTCTTATGCAAACGAAACCAATAAAAGCCGGTTTGGATGGTAAGTTGGCACGCTCCCCACTAGAGGTGGTGGCCGTTCCGTCCCTACTTCTCCACAGAAACTAGTCTATCTCTGTGCATGTTTTTTCTCGTGTTTTGATGAGCCATCCGCAGCATTCCGTGATCACTGCTGGCCAGTGACCCACGCATCAGCTCTGAAGATACTAATTATTTCCAACTTTTTGAAAATATCTTCATATTTCTTGTTGAATCAGACCATTTCCATTTTTTAATGGTAACTTAGTCTATTAACATTTAATATTAACTTTTAAGATATTGAACATATATTCACTATATCATTTTATCAATGATAATTAAAATAGTGAGAATAAAAAATAATTATATATATGTTTCATGATTAATTGATGGAAATAAACAAGAAAAAACTCTAGAAAATTGAGGAAGAGGAACCAGAAAAACACAGACATTTGTAGAAAGGGTAAAGAGACAAGAAAATTTAAGAAGCAAATCGAGATTTACCATGTAAAATAGTGTTGAAATATCTTGAAAGGAGGAAGAGTTTAGAGCTGGAATGCAGTGGGGTGAGGAATGGAAAAAGACTACAACTGGGGAAAAAAAACAGTCCCTCAGTCCTGAATTGGTAAATGCCTTTAATGGAAATCAATGTTTCACCAGTAAAATCTAGAGACTGGCTATTATCATTTTGTTACTGCCAAGCAAAGCCCACCTAAAATACAGAAGCTTAAAGTAGCAACCAGTTATTATTAACTCAGAAGTCCTGAGAGTAAGGGTCAGCTGATCTCACCTGGGCTCCATTGATCTCAGCTGTTCTCACTAATGCATATGTGGGTTAGTTGGCCATTGGCTGATCTGGGCTCGCATCCTTGCATGATCACTGGGGCATCTCAGCTGTGTTTCGAGTATATCTTGTCCTACTCTACAGACCAGTGGACAACCTGGGGCTTATTTTTCTCATGACAATAGCGTAAGTGCAAAATCACAAACCTCAATGAATAAGCCCACTTCAAGTCATTGCTTGTGTAATGTCTTTTAACAATCCATTGGCCTAAGCAAGTCACATGGTTGAAGTGAGTGACAAATATTATATCAGGTCCACCCATTCTTAGTGGAAACGTATTTAAAGTTCAAAAATAGATGCAGATATACAAAGAAGCAAAGAATGGGGACCATCATTGCAATATATCACACTAGCCCTCTTTAAGTGAAAAATAAACAATATTTGTGAATGAACAGATTGAGAGCATCTAAAATGTAATTTCATCACATGACTCCAGTGAAAGTCCCATGGGTTTAATACCATGCAGGCAGGCTCATTATCACTTAGTTTAAAAAAAATCTGTAACTGCACTTTACATAAATGAAGAGAAAACCAAAACCTGTGAGCAGAAGCAGGATTATCAGCTTAGAGCAATGGTTTACAAAGTAGAATATGTACATCCATTTGGGTACAGGAAGAAATTGTTAGAATCTTTATTTTTATACAGAATTCTTATGGGAATATAGGAAGTAAATGAAGCTTTGCTATTAGATAATATATGGAATGATATTGGCATTCTCACAATGTCCATAAGTAGATTCTGGTCATATGTAAAGTGTCCTACAGGAAGAAAAGGACCTGCAACTAGGAGTGGTCACGTGCTGCCACATTCAGTTGTTCACAGGGTACTGTGACTTATACTTAGGTGACTTTGCAAGTTACAACATCTAGTTCTGATTAAACTCCCTCACATAAATGGACAGATGGTTTCAAGGAGGGATCACAATACCTGATATCAAA